TTTTATATTGACCTTTTACCTTGAAACCCTTATTTTACTTATTTTTAGTGTTTTAGTAGTCCCTTATATATAAAGAAGATCATGATATCTGCAGATACAGATGATTTTTCTTCTTCTTTTCTGATCTGATTGCCTTAATTTTTTCCCCCTCAAACTGTGCTAGCCAGAATCTCTAGCATAGTTTCATAAATGGGGTAAAAGCAGACTTCCTTATCCTGATCTTTAAAGGAAAGCATCACTTTCAAGTATAATATTGGTTGTGGGTTTTTCATAAATGTCAGTTAAGGAGGAAGTTTTATTCTGTTTCTAATTTGTTCAGCATTTTTATTATGGAAGAGTATTGAATTTTCTGGGGGGGGTCAAGCTTTGGGGTCACACCTGGTAATGTTCAGGGCTTACACCTGACTCTGTGCTCAGGAGTCACTTCTGGTGGTGTTGGGGACCATATACAGTGGCAGGGATGGAACCAGGGTCGGTAACATGCAAGTTCCTTACCACCTATACTATTTCTTCAACTCCAGAGTGTTGGATTTTTGTCATGGTTTTCTGTGTCTTGAGATGATTTTGTAGCACCTCCCCAGAGAACGTGCAGGAGCATTGGGACCTTAAGTGACCTTCAGCCCAGAGTTGTGGGGTGGTGTGGGACTGATGGGCTCAGTACTCAGCCTAGAGGTAATGGTGTGGGGTGGGAGAAAGGGGCCTGTGGTACCTAGGATCAAATTTTGGGTCTCATGTTGGCAAAGCCTGCACTCCATTTCTTCAAAAGCACTCCTTGGCCTAATCATGAGGGTTCCGTCCTTTATTCTGTTCTTAATGTTCTAGTAATTGACTTATTTCATTTGTTAAACCTATATTCCATTCCCAAAATAACTCACACGTGGTGCGTTCAGGGTATTTTTGTTTGGGGGCCACACCCCATAGTGTCAGGGCGTACTCCTGGTGGTGCTCAGGAGCCAGCCTGGGTCAGGTGCATGCAAGGTAAGAGCCTTGCCCACCATACTGTCACATCGGCCCCGACTTGGTGCTTCTTAGATGTTGCTGCTGGATTCAGTTTTCTTGTATTTCGTTGAGAAATTTTGATTCTATATTCGCAAGAGAGATTGTTCTGTAGTTTTCTTGTGACATCTTTGCTTCCATTGTCGAGTTAATGCTGGTCTCAGTTGCTTGAAAAGTATTCCTCTTCCTTTTTTTTTTTTTGGAGTGCTTGTGAATCATGAATAGAAATTCTTTAAATATTTTGTAGAATTCAACAAAATTATCTCATTGTAAGCTTTTCATTGTGGGTAGTTTTTCAACTTCTAATTATGTTCTCATTCATTATAGATCCATTCAGGTTTCCTAATTCTTTTTGAGTCAGTTTTGGTAGTTTGTGTCTTTCCAGTAGTCTGTCTTTCCAAGAATTTTTCCATTTCCTCTTAATTATCCAGTTGTTTGCCGTACTATTTTCTGTTTAATTAGTGAGATTGTTATTTCAAGTTTATTGACCACCATTTTTTTCTATGATTGCTTATCTGGGAGTTTGGGGGAGGGGGTTGTTTGTTTTATTATTATTTTTTTAAATTCTCTCTCTTTGGTTGGAGCAATAATATACCGGGTAGGGAGTTTGCCTTGCACGCGGCCGACCTGGCCGACCCAGGTTCGATTCCTCCGCCCCTCTCTGAGAGCCTGGCAAGCTACTGAGCTACTCTCAGTATCTGGCAAGCTACCTGTGACATACTTGATATGTTAAACACAGTAACAAGTGTCACAATGGAGACGTTACTGGACCCGCTCGAGCAAATTGATGAACAACAGGAGAACAGTGACAGTGATAGTGAATCTTCTCTCTTAACTGGGACCCCAAGTCCCAGCCTCTGTACATGCTTGGCACCAGAAATTGAAGCTCGTGACTTTGTGCTTGTGATTAAACCATCTCTGGTCCATTTCTTGCTCAGAGTCCCCAAGAACGGGGCTGTCAGGATCGTCACAGTGCTTGCACACGCACCAGGGCTTGAGCTTGTGGCCTTCAGCCAAGCACGCTAAGCCAGTGGCCATCTCCCAGAACCTGTTCATAAAATTTCATATAATCTCCCTTTCTAAACCAGAGTTCCCAGGCTAACTTGGCCTACCACATCTTTTCAGAAAAATATCACTTAACTGCTCCCCCCCCCCCCCATCTACTTTTTTAAGCAAACAAACGGAAAGTGCCCTCAAGTTGCACTCCCATTACCTGCCTGGATTGTCCCAGGCTGCGCCCTCTTTGACCCCCCCCCCCCACCACCTGGTGTCTCACTTTCTGACATTGGTCAAAACTTTGGATTCCCAAACTCTGACATTTAAATGAATTCGAGTAAATGTTTTGAGAAGTTCCTTACTGTAGGCACCATCACTACTCTCCTAAAATCAGATTGGCTTGGATAAATTGGGTGGATTTACTTAACCACTCACATTGTGACTATCCAAAATTGGAACCAAATAGAATAAGTTAGAGGGAATGTGGCCTCATACTAATTTTTGTTGTGTTTTACAAATTTTCACTCCCCGTGCTTTAATTTTTTATCTTGTTTATATAATTTCCCATAGTAAAAAGCTACGACTCTTATGTTGAGTATCTGTTCTGTTTCCTCTATGAATTCAAGGTTTGAATTTTCTTAGGTTGGCTTTCCATGGAAGGTTTTAATATCTTTTTTTTCCTTGTTTTTAGATACATAAATGCATCTTTATGCATATTTGTCAGGGAGTTTTTGGAAATTAATCCTTTATCTTTTATTTATGTGGGTCACATGTTTGCGACCACTCCTGGCAGTGCTCCAAGTCTACTCCTGGCTCCATGCTTCAGGGTTGCTCCTGGCAGTGACCAGGGGACCCTGCCCTGGGAGCTAACCTAGGCCTCCTGAATACACAGCATGCACTCAGCCCATTCATCTACCCCTTAAGCCCTATCATTAATTTTAATTTCAACCTTGTTTTAGCCCAGGCTTGTGATTCTCAGCCAAAACAGATAAAGGTTCCGTGTGAGAGTCTGAGGATTTGGTGCTGAGAGAGCCCAGCAGCCTTGGGAATACCTGGGCCACCCTGATGCTCAGGGGCCTCCTGGGCTGCACCCACCGATGCTCAAAGGATTGTGTCCTGCCAGGGATTGAGCCAGAGTCAGCTGCATGCCTTAATCCTATACTTTGTCTCCACCCTTATCATTAGTCTTAAATACCACCTTTATCATATGCCAGATTTTTTTTAGTGTACACGGATCTTTTTTTGCTACAGTACCATACACTTCTAACAGTTATTTTGATATCGAAATGATAAAAAATCTCATGCTTTTTCTTAAGTTTTATGTTGCTATTTAATTTTTCTTCCAGATGTATTTTAGGAGGAAAAAAACTCGACTTACCCCCTATGCTTCCTCTAGCAATATATGAGGGTGTGCATTTTATCTGATCTGGAAGAAATTTGGCTAGGGGTATGGAGCAAAGTTAAGAACTGAATAAAACAAAAAAAATTAAAGATAATACAAGAGGTAAGGTGCTTACCTTGCATGTGACTGACCCAGATTCAAATCTCCAGCACCACATATGGTCCCCTAAGCATTGCCGGGATCATTCGTGACATAACAGGAAAAGTATCACTGGGTATGGCCAAAACCTCCCCCACACTACCACCAAAAAAAAAAAAAAAATTAAAGACATTACATTTTAATTCATCTGATAGGCTTGTAACACTGTTCAGGGTTTGCTTCCTAGGAAATATTCTCCCCCATTTACACTTTTTCTGTTTTTGGTTTGGGGGCACACCCAGCTATTAGAGGCTATTCCTAGCTCTGTGCTCAGGCATGACCCCTAGAGGTACTTGGGTGCCTGGGTTTCCAACCAGGGTTGGCAAAATGCATGGCAAGTGCTTTAACCCTTCTACTCTCTTTGGCCCTATTCTATGCTCTCAGCCTCATTCATGATAGAAATTTTCCCCCCAAATTTCTATCATGTTACCTATATACATCTTCTTCCTGGTATTTCTTCCCATTTCTCTGTATCCCAGCCCACTCCCAAATTTTCTGTCTGGGAAAATCTTACTTGTTTCTAACAACCGGTTTAGACAATACCTTAACTGGAAAATTGTTCCTCATGTCAGTAATAAGATTGTTCTAACTTGATTATTTCCTGTCATTATCAAAGTTCTAGCTAGGTCAAGACATATACCTGTCACTGTCAATGTCCTCCCGTTGTTCATCGATTTGCTCGAGCAGGCCCAGTAACGTCACCATTGTGACAATTGTTACTGTGTTTTGCATATCGAATACGTCACAGGGAGCTTGCCAGGCTTTGCCGTGCGAGCTAGATACTCTCGATAGCTTGCTGGGCTCTCCGAGAGGGGCGGAGGAATCGAACTTGGGTCGGCCATGTTGGCCGCTTGCAAGCAAAAGCCCTACCCGCTGTGCTATCTCTCCAGCCCAAGACATATACCATAAATGAAAAATAATAAAATATTTTTATTAGAAGATCTGAGTACTCACCAGAAAATTAAACGAAAAAATTTAAGTTAAAGAAAAATATATATGAACCCAACTATGAATAACTTTGTAATTCACAGTGCTTTAATAAAATAAAATTTGGAAAAAATGTTTTTTTTAATAATTGTAAAACCATGAAATAAAAAGAAAGAAAAATAGATATGAAAGAGATTATATGTCACCTTGCTTTTAAGTTACTAACAGAAGACCTTTTAATCCAATTATAATTTCAACCTGGCCAGGTTTAGATTTTATGGTTTATGCACTAAACTTTAGATAGATAATATGCCAGTACACAACGTTAGGCATTCACTTTGATCCATGAAGCCTTTTCTCATGGGTTTACACAAAGATTGGACAAAATGAATCAGTGTCATGGGAACTTTTAAAGCTATGAAGAAAAATACCAGGACATGGGTTAGAAAGGCTTGAGTATCCCATGAAAGATTTGGGGTGTTAGATCTTCTTACTGGGTTGTAAATAAACTTGAATTTAAATTATTTTCTATTTTCTTTAGTACTGGATGAACGAATACACTTCATCCATCGGAATTGGAGTATTTCATTCAGGAATTGAAGTTTATGGCAGAGGTAAGTGTATACTTTAAACTTTCTAAAGATTTTCTCTAAAGGAGTGTCAGTTATGACTGTAGTTCTGTCATATTAGCTATTTCTGTACATTATTACAGATTCCATATTTGTTTACATAGTTGGCAGCGAAATAGTAGAAACCATGTACTTTGTTAACTAGTTTGATTAAAAACAAGTCATTGGGGTTGGAGAGGGATTGCGCTAGAGAATGTCAAACTTGAATTTAAACTTACAGATACATATCAGTAAATATCAGTATTCAAGTAGTGCCTTTGCTTCCGTCCAGCTTTGTGCTCATAAAGTCCCTTTTTATTAACTCAGACCTTTTTATTATTTATTACCCTTTATTATGATAAAACATGACAAGAGCCACTGAAACCCAGCTAGCTCTGTTTTCGACATCTATTTCCTTCGTTGTAGTTTCCACTCTTGGTGCAAGTTAACCAACACCTGATCACGCTGTAAGCTATAGTGGACTGCTTTAGGCAGATCACATTACCAGTTCCATCAGGGTTGTAATAATCTTTTGTTTTCCCTCATAATCTCACCTTGGAGTAAATATGTCTTTATTCTTAAATTCTACAAGAAAGGGAAAATGTTTATCTGTGTTAGAGTGGTGCTTTCTACTCTCCCTTTTTGTGTATCATATTGTTTGCTTCTAAGTACAGCATATTAAATGTTGGCTGTTAAGATCTGCTACTTTGAAGACTGCAACTACCAAATAATTCCAAAACACAGAGACTCCAGCTGAAAGTTTCAATAGTTAGAGTATTGCTTTGGCTTTGCTCCTGTGTTTGATTTACTCTTTCCAATGGTTGTGCATATATTCTTTTTTTTTTTTACTGCTATTTTTTCAGCCACTGATTAGCTGATTGAATTGTGCATGAACTCCACCTTACTTTTTTTTTTCATTTTTTATAATTTTATTTATTGAATCACCATGAGAACAGTTACAAAGCTTTTAGGTCTGAGTCTCAGTCATACAATGAAACACCCGTACCTTCACCAGTCCCCATTCTCCACCACCAAAAACCCCAGTATACCCCCATCCCACATCCTCCCCCTTCCTGTGGGGCAGATGATTTCCACATTACTCTCTCTCTACTTTGATCACATTCAATATTTTGACAACAGACCCACCATTATTATTTGAAATTTTACCCCAACACTCAGATTTGCTGAAAAGGCAACAGTAGACAATTTGTTTTCTATTGCTGGTTATGAATAACATATGATGTCACGTGGCTGCAGTAGGGCCATGTGATTTTGAAATTCCGAAATTTTGACACTTAAATCTGGAGGGATTTCTGCCAAAAGCCACTGGGTTTCGAGATTTGCTCCTGAGTCTCTGGGATCATGGCCATTGAGCAGCTTGATCAGGAGCCAGAGAGGCTGTTCATGAGCAATGACTTGGGGTCTCGTTGGGGTGGGGAGGACAGACCCAGCTCCACCCCCATCCCGTGAGGCCCAACAAGTTTTGTCACTGCGGGCCCAAGCCTGACTGTCCAATGGCCTCTGGAGGATGATGACCACCGAGCCGCCAGGGGGAAGCAGGTGAAGGGACAGCACCCTTTCCCCCCTGGGGTGGCCCGGTGACAGTAACCTACTGTGTGGTCCGGACGCATTTCTGCCAAAAGCCGCTGGGTTTTGAGATTTGTTTCTGAGTCTCTGGGATCATGGCCATTAAGCAGCTTGATCAGGAGCCAGAGAGGCCGTTTATGGGCGATGACTTGAGGTCTCGTTGGGATGGGGAGGACAGGCCCGGCTCCCTCCCCATCCCATGAGGCCCAACAAGTTTCGTCACTGCGGGCCCAAGCCTGACTCGTTGGGATGGGGGTCTCGTTGGGGTGGGGAGGACAGGACCAGTTCCACACCCATCCCGTGAGGCCCTGCGTGTCTCGTCACCGGGGGCCCAAACCTGACTGTTCAGTGGCTTCTGAAGGATGGTGGCCACTGGGCCACCAAGGGGAACAGGCCAAGGCACAAAACCTATTCCCACCTGGGTTGGCCCATCACTGGTAACCTACTGCAGGGACCAGACGCATTTCTGCCAAAAGCCGCTGGGTTTCGAGATTTGTTTCTGAGTCTCTGGGATCATGGCCATTAAGCAGTTCGATCAGGAACCAGAGAGGCCATGCCTCCAATTATATAGCTGAGCCAGAGTGGTTTGTGGGTATGTTTCCCACATACCTAACTTTTGGCTGTTTACTTTCTTGGTAAACTTTGCCCCAAGTTTTTGGGGTCTGGCCAAAGGCACAGCAGCAATTTTGGGGTATCTGGAAGTCTGAAGGTGCCATCAGGCTGCTGATGCACTCGGCTCACAGGTACAGATTGACCTGCTGGCGGCACCATACCCCCGCATATATTCTTTCTTAACTCGGTTTTGCATGATGTCTTTAAAAAGTTTTTAAAATGGTGTCAACTTTTGTACCACATGACCATGAAATTGGCCCCCCCAAAAAATTAAGAGCTACATTCAGACTTAAAACTAGCTGGCTACTTGAGCAGGGACAGTTGTCTTTTTCTTGTCCTTCTTCCAAAAGCCTAAGTGAAGGATCAAGAAAAGGACAACTATCCCTGGGATTCTTGACCTTGTGCTCGGCAGAGCCCCTTGTGGTGATTAGGGACCATATGCAGTGCTAGGGCTCAGTCCAAGGTTAACTGCATGACAGATAGGTGCCTTTTCTCCTGTACTATCTCCTGCCCCATTTTCTACATTTTTCAATGAAGAAACTGAAGGTCAAAGCAGATTCAAATTGTATATCTAATAATTAACAGAACTAAGGACTTCAGCACAAGTGTTTTTTTCTACTAGTCTGCATAATCAGTGTTCTTCATAAGACAGTTTGGGAATTATTTGAAACAGTATACAGAATATGTTTGTAAAAAATATAGATGGATTTGAGAAACTGGGGACTGAGAAAATTAAAAATTCAAATGTACTTCCATATGTAACCTGTGTTTTATAAAATTCCATCTTGAAAAAACATCAAACGTGTATCTCAGAATTGAATGCAGGAGCCAGAGAGATAGTACAGGATTTAACAAACATGCCTTGCTGACCCCAGTTCAGTCCCTGCATTGGTGCTGTGTGATCCCCCAGGCATCACTGGATGCAGTCCAGTGGACCTACAGTCCCCAAGTACTGCCTGTTGTGGTCCTGGATGCCCTCAGCAATGCCTTTGGCCTGGGAGTACCTGGCATTGCAGGGCCTGCACAGCACCACACGCCCCTGCGCTACCGCAGTGCAAGCCTGGTTATTGGAATTCCCTGAGCATTGCTTAGGAGAAATCCTCCCCCCCCCCCTCCAAAAAAAGAGTGCTGGATACTGTTTCTTGAAAGTGCTATTTTTCCAAAAATCTGAATCAAAAATTAACCGTTTCCCTTGTTCTTTCCTATGCTTTGTTCTAAGGCCTTTCAAGTTTTTGTTAATTAATGTAATGATGAATTTAATGTAGTATTCCAAATTCTTTAAGACTTACCACTTAAATATCTTAAGGTATCTCAGAATTGTAGTCAGAGGTCATTGCTCCTATTAATAAAAAATGCTTTCGCCATTTTTGTTCTGAATGAGAGTTTAGCTCTGGTATCTTAAACATACATTCACTATAGTACAAGTCGTTCTTCCTTGCTAAAAATTTTGCTCTAGAGAGTATATGTCTGTGATGGGTGTCTTATTTTGGTATCCTATTTTGAGGGAAATTGTATTCAGTTTTTTAGGTTTGTTCATGTTCTACTTAATCATTGTTATTAGATGGGAACAAGTTTGAAATTTGATCCCAACTTTGATTTAGTAAGTAGTAAAACACTGACTGAACTGACCATCTATTTCATCTGGTGGTGTGATAAGATAGAAAGACCTTATCCACTGTTTGTTATACTTTTCTTAAATATGTAAGTTCATTTTTTTCATCATCTAAGTTAGGTCTTTCACATCAACTATTCAAGATAATAGCTAAGTGATAGGTTTGTATAAGTACTAGTAAACTGAAAAAAATATTTAAATATAACTGTCTTCATCATTTGTTAAAACCAGTGCAGCATTCTGGTTAAATATTATGTGACAAATACTTTAAAAGTTTTCTCTTTTCAGAATTTGCGTATGGTGGACATCCTTACCCATTTTCTGGAATATTTGAAATTTCCCCAGGAAATGCTTCTGAATTGGGAGAAACATTTAAGTTTAAGTAAGTAGGAGAATAATTTTTATTACTCTATCTTAGATATCTAAGCTTGCTTTCAAGCTGTCGAATTTATTCTGAGGATATATAGCCAATTCAAATGTTTTTTAAACATTATTTTAAAATAAAATTTAAGTTGTGTGTAAAGATGGTAGTCAGCCAGTTGAGGTACCTGAAATAACACAGTCTACTATTTTTATTCAGGATCCATGTAACTTACTTACACTCTGCTGTTTTGTTTTGTGTTAATGGGGGACACACCTGGCGGTGCTCAGGGCTCACTTTTGGCTTTCTGCTCAGGGATTAAACCTGGATCAGTCACATGTAAAGCAAGTGCCCTACCACTATACTAACTCTCCAGTGTACTTTTCTACTTATAAATGATGTTACCATGGGGCCAGGAATGTGCATCAATGATTGAGTATATGCCTGGCAAAATTGCATGACATAAGGCCTGGGTTTAACTACCAGCACTACAAAAGAAAACCAAAAACCTTTTCACTTGTATAGCATAAGTTCTCGTTTAGAAAATGTTCATATTTGGGGCCAGGCAGATGGCTCTAAGGGCTAGAGCTTGTATTTTGCATGCAGAGACCTCAGGTTTGATCTTTGGCACTGCTTGGTACCCTGAGCATACCACCTGGGAGTGGCCCCCACACACCTACCCAAAAGTAGCAGCAACAACAAAAGCAACTCTAATGGTCATATTTTATGATTGTTTTTCCTCAGTCTTCTCCTTGGGGAAGATGACAGTTTTATTGTGATCTTAGATGATCACTCTTAAAAATATTTAATAAGTAATTATACTAATAATACATAATCATAATACGGTAATATATAATATTGTATAAAAGTACCACCACTATTAAAAGTCTATTTTCCTAATGAAAGATATTTTTAAATATGAAATACTAAGCAGGGAATTAGCCAGGAAACTGTTGCTAAGATCCATGTGATATTCGTATTGATGAACCTAAAATGTATGGATGTTAGTATACTCACATCCTTGGAGCCTTATCAGTAGTAAATAGCACTAAAATCTGCATGCTCCCAGTCAGTATTAGCATTCCGTAACTGAGATTTGTTCATAAAGTGGTATTTAGAACTTGGTTTCAAGGAGTTCTTTGTTTTTGTTTTCTGGGCCACGCCTTGCAATGCTCAGAGTTACTCCTGGGTTTGCATTCAAGAATTACTCCTGGCAGTGCTTGGGGTACCAAGGATCAAACCTGTGTTGGCCACATGCAAGGCAGATGCCCTGCCCACTGTACTATCGCCCCAGCTCCCCAAGGAGTTCTTTTGAAGAAACTTAGGAATCTGTACAGATTTTTAGCTTTTTTAGATGACTAATATATATTTGACTAATATTCCACTTTCTGTTCAGTAGTGTCCATTGTATTTCAGGGCAGTAGTCTGAGGGAGGTGTTTTGCCTGTAGAGCTTGGTTTTGTCATACTTTCTTAAAATCTTAGCTTTCTGACAGTTCCTCTCACTGGAGCATAGTGGCAGATAACTTAAAAGATTCTCAGGGAGGATCTGGCCACCCATTGGTTAGCTACTGTTAAATAAGACTATTTGTAGAATGGATCTGTTTCTAATTAGTAGTGTAACTACTAAAAAATAGGCCATTTTCATAAAATGTTATATTTCAAAGTACATATTTTGCATTTTTATTGTTCAGATGTACATTTATTATAGTAAAGTCAATACTAGAATAATTAAAATGTTTTAAGTATTTTTAGTCTACTTAACACTGTTAAATCAAACAGTATTATTGGAAATAAGTAAATGATTAAACATGCTTTTAGCAATATATAAAACACAAATATGTTTTTTACTTTTTTTCTTCTTATTCTTTAAGAGAAGCTGTTGTTTTAGGGAGCACTGACTTCCTTGAAGATGATGTAGAAAAAATTATAGAAGAACTGGGAAAAGAATACAAAGGCAATGCCTATCATTTGATGCATAAAAACTGCAATCACTTTTCTTCAGCTTTCTCAGAGGTAATTTTTTTTTCAGTTCTTTTTGTTGAAGTAATGTGATCTGCAACAGTTTCTATCAGAAGTAAACTATTCTAGATTTTTTTTTCTGATTTTTCATGTTCTGACCTTGTATGAATGACCTTTTTCAAAGGTGGTTAAAAGTCTGCATAGTTTTAAATTGCAGTTTTATTCATGAATTTGCAGTGGGTAGAGTGCATATTCTGATTATCTCTTATTCTAATGTGTTACTTACTACCACTGAAAATTTCACTTAATGAAAAAGTGTGCCCAAGCAAGGAATTGCTTGGGCACACTTAGCCCATAAGATTTTTTTTTTCCTAAATATTAGTTACCAGCTTGATTTTTTTCTCTTACTAATAATTCATTTCTTTCATCTTGAAATTTTCTTCTACCTGTTATCAGTTATTTATTTGCCTTTCCAATTCTGAATCCCAAACAGAAACCCAAACTAGATCCAAATTGAAGAAACTTTAAGAAAATGAAGAGAAGGAATCAAAATATATAAAATGAGGGCTAGAGCAGCATTTCTCAACTGGGAAAATTAAGGAACACTAGAAACAGTTTCCCAACTCGATGACTCAGCATCAAGTACCAAGGAAGTGTGAGAGGCACACAGGAGCTGCTGTGACCTCTGCAGCATACCGAGCCTCTTGCCTGGCACTTTCCATTACCCTCAAGGCTTCCATGACAGCTTTCAAACAGGATTGTAGCAGACTTATTAATATCCTTCTCAGATTATGTTTTAGGAACTGGAAACATCAGTCTTATATAGAAATTTCTCATCCATGATTTTTTTTCTAACTATCCCACAGATTTACTGAATCAGAATATTCATTTCAACATGATCCTCAGGTGATTCATAAGAACTTAAGAAATAGAAAGTCACCCCAGTCTAGCAGATGCTTTGATACCCGAGACACAAGGTCATCAAGCCTTTCTTGACTGTAGACAGTTACTTGTGAGGTATACATTCAAAGAGCCATAGAATGTTAAAGTTGGCCAGAGGTATTAGACAGCATCTCAGTCTAGCTTCCTTATCAAGTTACAACAAAACAGGCCTGGTTGGGGAAATGGCTTAGTAAAGATAGTTGCAGAGAACTCAGAACCTGACTTGCCTTCCCCTCCCCCCCCCCGCCCCACGCACACACACTCCCCTGCTTTTGTGGGGGAAGGGGGCAGCTCAGACCATGCCTGGCAGTGCTTAGATTTTACCCCTGGCTCTGTGCTCTGGGATCATTCCTGGCCAGGCTCACAGGGCCAGGGATCAAATTGATCCAGAGTCAAGGCTATAGAGATAGTGGATGGGGCACTTACCTTGCATGGGGTCAGTTCAGGTTCAACCCCCTGGACCCCATATGGATCACCAAGCCTCACTAGGAGAAGCCTTGGACATAGCCTGATGCCTCCCAGCCCTCAATTATTTTTTTTATTTATTTTTATTTATTGACTCACTGTGGGAAAAGTTACAAAGCTTTCAGGTTTAAGTCTCGGTCATGCAATCATCAAACACATTTCCCTTCACCAGTACTTATTTTTCACCACCAAGAACCCCAATATACCCCCCGTCCCAACCCTCCCAATGCCTTTGAGGCAGATGAATTCTAGTTAACACTCTATCTACTTTGATTAGATTGATTGTTTCAACAAAAGATGCACCATTATTATTTAGAGTTTACACCCCAATATCAGACCTGCTGAAAAGGCATTTTGAAGTAATTTGTTTTCTATAGCTGGTTGCAAGAACCAAATGATGTCACGCGGCCGTGGTAGCAGATTTTTGTTATTTTACTTAGCCTGGAAGTATTTCTGCCAAGAGTCAGATAATTATTAGATTGGTTTCTGTGGCTCTGGAGCGAGCCATGTCCATCCCGGAGAGCCGCTCGTGGAGGGCAATTTGTGACCTCGGTAGGGCGTGAAGGATGAGCTGGGAACGCCCCCCTTCCCATGAGGTTTCAGTTGCCCTGTCAAGACTGGCTCATACCTGGCTTTCCAAAAAGCTCCGAGGCAACTGCCATCTTGCTGCCAGAGGGAAAACGGCAAAAAGGAACAACACCCTTTCCCTCCTGGGCAGGCATAGTGGCGTGGATTAACACATAGTCCATTCATTTTTCTGCCACAAGCTGCCGGGCTCTGCATTAAGTCCTTGTGCTTCTGGCGCCATGGCCGTGCCCGAGAGCCGCTCATGGGGGGCACCTCGTGACCTCGGTAGGGCGTGAAGGACGACCCTCAATTATTTTTTTAAATTGATCCAGGGTTAGCTGCATGTAAGGAAAGCACCTTAACCCCTATATTATCTCTCTTGCCCCAGAATCTGGCTTCTTAACCCACTGCCTTTATATGTAATTTCCTGCTCTGGTTCAGATATAGTCTCCTACCCAAATAAATTGATTAGTTAAATGTTTATTAAATGTTAAATGTTCTAAATAACATCACCTTGACACTGGTTGTTAACTGAAACCTTAGTACAGGTAGGGACCTGAAGAACAAGTCAGGATGTCTCTCGAACAACTTTAATGATATTTCAACACTTCTAGATATTACAATGTTTTTTTTTTCCTAGATGAATGTTGAATTATTAAAGTGAGATTCAGAAGTTAGGGACTTAGGCAAGGCAGTGTAAATTGTTAGTGACAGATGAGTCACTTGAATAGTGAGGGACTTAAGGAGCTGTTTACATAAACTCCATATAATCAAAGCAAATAAATTTGAAGTTTAGTAAACCTAATGTATATTCACACCTTTTACAACATAGTTTGGATGTGTTCTGTTTCAATAACCAGTTACAGATAGACAAAATCATAACTAATTCCCTTTGTTAACCTAATGTTCAACAGTACCACAGAAATCCTAAGAAATACTGTTTAACATCATGTTATTAGTTCAGATACTTCCGCTGAAATATTTTCTGCTTGACTCTTTATCAATAAAAATTTGCTTACTCTACTTTATAGGTTAGATCCATTTATAGCTGATTCAAGTTGGCTTTAATCAGTCAATGAACTAGTGTTGGGCAGCTGAAATAGAAAGGTTGAAACCACTGGTCCTTGATATAACTACCAGTCTGTGGACTGGTATTCTGTGCAGGTTCTTGTCTACAGGTATAAGACAGTTTAAGAAAATTAGCTTGAATAGTAAGGAAATGTATCTCAATGTAGCAAGAAGTTGGTTGTTAGACAGGATTCGTGCAACTGTGATCAGTGTCCCAAATGATATATGTCATCAGCAACCTATGTATGGTCTTGTCATATCATTGAGCTATATTCTTAGGATGTTAACTCTGCCCTCAGGCTAGCTCCTTCTATGATTTTCAGGTAACCATAGCCGTGTTGAGCACCATATCCAGACACAAAAACATCCAGAAGAAGAAGAAAACCTTTTTTTTGTTTTTCTCTAAGGAACCATGAGATCTTTTTCTAGAACTTTCTATCCTTTCTGAAAGCAGGCCATCTTTTATGGTCTGAGTTAGGTCAAGAGGAGGGGTTCTGGCTCAGTTACAATACAAGCTTGGTATGTATGAGACCGAGATTCAGTCCGTGGAACCATAAAAAAAAACAGGAGTCATGACATAATACAGAAGCCGGGTAGATGCAATTGCCCACCCCAGGTTCTATTCCTGACACCACCTGGTCTCCCACACGTAGCTCTTAGGACTCCTCAGCCCACTGTGTACCACTGGAAGACCTAAAACAAACAACAAGAATTAGGCCAAATGCTCTTCTCTAAACTAATCACTAGCAAGAGAAATGGTATTACTGTTACTTTCTTAAATACATTTTAACTGAACATTTTTTGTTAATTAATATTTTTAAATACAAAACAAGTGTAAAGTAGAAAAGTAGTATAAAGATCCTCTGTATACCAATCACTTAGCATCAAAAATTACCAATTCGTTGGTAATCTTGTTTCATATATAATAAAACCATGCTGAAATTCCACTCCTAGATTACTTTGAAATAAATCCCAAACTTTTTACTTTGTTGCTGTAAAGATCAGGGGTTTTTCTTAATATAGACACCAAGAAAAAGAAGATTAAGATTTGTGTCTTCGCCAAATATTTAATATTGAAACTTACTCAGTTGTTAGAAATATTAAAAGTTTGTTTAAATCAGAGTCTAATAGATCCTAATAGAACTTGTATAAATGACCATAGTTTATGGTGTAATCCACATAGGAAAGGCAGTCTAGATGATTTTGTATTTCCCTTTACTTAACAGTCTTCAAAAACGGAATTAGTTCTTGTGCTATCCAGAAGCTTTAGAAAGCCTTCTTGTCCAGTATCTTATTAGAACCTGGCTTTTAAGAAGGGTCCTGCCATTCCTACATTTGCTACAAGTGGTGCAATATGACTGATATCTTTGTTAAAATAATTTGGTTTATGCTAAACAGCCAGTTTCCTTCTGGAAATTTGGTACACTTTAGACTAAGTGCCTTCATTACCAGTCCCCCCAAAAATCTTCAGGCACTCTTTATAGTGAACTTCCTTATAGACTAATACTTCACATAGTTGAATATTTAGCTGGGATGATTTCTGAACAGTGTTAGAGGTATATGGCCCGCTTTCTTTTTGCTGCGTAGAGTGAAATGTGAGGAGCAAGATATATTGAGGGAATGACTCTTAAATAGAAAGGGAATCAGCACTTTTAGGTAATTTTGGAATTTCTCAGCTGGTCCAGATTGCAAAAGGTACTCAAATTGGGAAATTTAGTATTAAGAAGTCATAGAGTGGGGAGAAGGCCAACGGTTTGACTGGGTGACCTTCCGCTAGTGCTGAAGAGATCAAACATGTAACTCATGGTCCTTGCAACCAAAAGCGAGGAATAGAAATGGGGTTTTCCAGAAAAGATCTGTGAAGGAACTCTTGTTTGAGTCAGTTCCATGATACACAAGGGAGAGGCACTATGTTTCTGAGAGTATTGTATTAGCAGAAAAGTTGCCCACTTGGCCTAACAGGTACAGAAGACAGAATGATAGTTCCTGGACTCTCAGCACTGTACCAGACAAAAGAAAACCGCTTCAGAAAAAGAATAACTTCAAGGGCCAGAGAGTGGATCTGAGGATTATTGCCAGACCTTGAAACATAGGCCTACTTAGGTTTCAAAGTTGTTATATACTAGCAATTCCTTTCTCCGTTACAAGAAAAGACATTCTTTTGGAATAAGAATGTTTGTAACTTATTCTCTTGCCTGTCTACCATTATATCTAGTGAGTGTGCTGTACACACTTTTCTCCTCTTTGCTTCTTTTTTCACTTAACAATGTGTCCTGGAGTTCATTCTATAACTCTATTCTGTATTTCTTTTTATAGTTTTTTTCATGTGGGTGTATGTTCATCCAATTTCCACTTGGTAGCATTTTGGGTTGTTTTTTAGCCTTTTTTTTTTTAGGCTGTTAAAAAAAAGTGCTCTAATAACCTAGTACAAACCTCTTTCACAGGTTTGCCAGTGTCTCTGGGATAGAGCCCTAGAAGAAGGATGGCTGGTGGTTTGCAGCTTAAATGCAAAGTGACTTTGCTATGTAAACCAAATATGTTTTGTTTTGGGGTCACACCCTATAGTACTTACGGGACCATCTGTGGTACCAGGGGCCGAACCTGGATTAGCTACATACAAGGCACGTTCTTTGCACAATATTCTATCTCTTTGTCCCCTTATCTAAATATTTTTGGTTTGAATTGGCAGCATCAGTAAATGGGGAAAGGTAGGGGGAACCTCCCCAACAGTACTCCGATGGCCACTTTCAAAGATCCTTGGTCTGGCTGTGCAAACAAGATGGTTTCTCGGGTCTGATCAAGCGGGGCTAAGGCTCAGTGGTGCTCAAGGGATTATGCAGTGGAGTGTGGAGCCTCTGCAAACAGGGAATATATTCTAGCTCTTCATTGTCCCAGATATTTTTTGAACACTATGGTATTAAGTACATTTGTGTCATGGCTAGCATATATACATATATACATAAGCACACATAAGTATCACAGCTACCCTACAATCTGCAACTGGGTTAAAATGTTAAGTGATGCTGACAGGACCAAGGTTTGGCATGCTTTCTGAAAGGACCCTATAGTAAACATTTTTAAGTTTTTGATTATTCATAGTTCTCAACTCAGACTCTGTCCTTGTATCCCAGGATCCATTGGCAGTAAATAAAAAATGACTATACCTACAATTTCAGGTACAAAAACAGGTGACTCTAGTTTGCAACCCTACGATCAGGTTAGTTCGTCCACAGTCTCCTGGATTGGGACAAAGTTAGCATCTGTGAGACATGAGTATGCGGTAGGTTACTAAGTGAGGACAGGACTCAGAGGAGGATAAAGAGTACTCACTATTGAATACTAGCCATTGGATAGAATATTAGCTCTTGAATAGTTTGTGGTGGCAGTTTTATTAAACTAAACAGCCCTAGTCATCATGTCTGTAGTTAACTATCAGATAAGCAAATATCCATGAACATGTTTACTAGAAAAATATTTATTTTCCTGTGTTTTTAGAATAGACATTGCTCAGCTACCCCAAGATCTAGCTCATGTACACAGTTTCTAAGTATTTGTGTTGCGAGTTGGAGAAGGCTCTCCAAGCAGTACTTAGAGAGCCCAGAGGCCACTTGTAGTGGTATTGAGCCTGGCATTGTTGTCAGGACACTTCAGTGTGCATTTGGAAGTGCGTGGGTGACAGTTTGTGCCAGGCATTGATTTGGGGGCCTCTGCATGCCAGACATGCACTCCAGTCCTTTGAGCTATGTCTCCATCCCTCTTCAAATACTAATTACTAGGAAGTCAGAATGGTCAAAATATGCCATCTTACATCCAGTGAAATTGTCTTGTGATTAAGACAAATTTTGTAGTGTTGAAAGTGATCAGTTATGAAAGTACACAGAACTGTGAAGAGAGGGCGAAAACTTTAGGAAGAAAGGTTACATTGCATAACTGTAGAGGTCAGTTTATTTTAATTTCAGCTAATTTGTGGGGGTGGAGGAGTGATTCTGGTGGGTGGACCATATCAAGCAGTATTTATGGGTCACTCCTGGTGCTGTGTAGGGGGAACTGTGTATAATGCCAGGAGTCAAACGGGTTGGCCCAGTGAAAGACCGTAACCCCTGCATTATCTCTCAAGCCCCAATTTTTAGCTAAACCTCTTTCCAGAATCATCAGCTAAGATAAATGGCATTTCCAATTTATGTCTTTGATATGATTGGAGGGAAAAACACTGATGGAGCAGTGAAACATACATTCACATCATCTGGCAGAAGGGAAAAAGGAAAATACAGAGTGAAACTACTACTAGAAGAGATCGAGCGCTTATATTTGCAAAAAATAGTTTATAGAGGAAAATGGTGTGAGGTAGCTCAGGAATCTTGAGGAGAAGTTAAGGACAGGAAGAGGACAGATAGCTGCAGCAGGTTTTTGGATCAACTGGAAGATTCCTCTGGCTCCCATATGCATCTCTGCTGCTTGTAGAAGTCCAGTGCTCAGCCTGCTCCTCTGCCTTGTTCTGGCTGCAGCCCCAATTCCCCACAGAGTCCAAAAGCAGGACTTCATTTGGGGAGTTACATCTTCTGGACCATTACGAGCTTCTTGGGGCTGGGGCAGGGGAGAAGGAATGGGCCCGGGATGGGAGTAGTCAGTAGTAGTAATAGTAAAATGCAGGCCAGGAAAATCAGAGTGGAAACTGGAAGAAGTAGAAAATGATTTCTTGGAAAAGGAGAATTTACAAGAAGCCAGGATTAACTCCCTGAAGCCTCTGTTAACTCATCATTTCTTTGTATGTCTTTTCTATGTGGTTCAAAGTACTTGTACAAAAATTAAGGGAAGAAAGGAGCCAAGTGGAATTAGCTTGATCTTTACAGGTGGGAGAAGTAAATAGCTGGCATAGTTCTTCAGAATAGAAGGAATGAAACTGACAGGAGGGAGCCCAGGCGCCAGTTATAGAACTGCTTAAGGATCCCACTGAAGTGGCTTTGCTGAGCATCCATCTCCTCCCCGTACCCAGCACTTCTTGGCTGTTGGTCCAATAATCTTAACACCACTCACCTAATGTACAACTCTTTCTCTTCTGTAGATCCTTTGTGGGAAGGAGATTCCTCGCTGGATCAATCGACTTGCCTACTTCAGCTCCTGTATACCCTTTCTACAGAGTTGCCTCCCAAAGGAGTGGCTCACTCCTGCAGCCCTGCAGTCTAGTGTTAGCCAAGAGCTCCAAGATGAACTGGAGGAAGCAGAGGATGCTGCCGCATCTGCTTCCATGGCAAGCTCTGCAGCGGGCTCCAGACCTGGGCGCCACACTAAACTATAAATGTCTCCAAAGTCTCACATTCAGAACTGTCTCTGGCAGTTGACTATCACTAGAGAAAAGTAAAAGTGAAAATGTCCTTTAGATATTTTGTATGCAAAGATGGCTCTCCCCCAAATCCCAGTTTTTTCAGCTCAGGATTATATTTGTAATCAAAAATATCACTTGGCGCAGGAGGGAGAACTTTGTATAAAGCTGCCCTCTGTTTTTTTTACCCACTTGTAAATTTGGATTTACTTCTTCTGGTTTATACAAACTCCATTTAAGTTATGTTTACAGTATTTTGTATCGCTGTTTACAAATCTTGCATGGACTCCTGCCTCAGTGAAAGAAGAAAATCTTCATGTCTTCGGAAAGTAGGCAGGTTATATCTTTATACACTTCTGACAATTGCCAGAGCTGTGGCATAAATAATAGGCACACAAAAAGGTACTTAACACAGTTATAGTCACCATTGCCTGCTTAAGAATTGTCTTTTAGGTCTGTTTATTTTTGTTAACATTTTGGCACCAGGATGTGGAGAGGAAGGCACATACATATAGCCCTGAGGGCTTGGGACCCGGGTTAGCATGAGAGGTGGCCTACCCCTGAGCCTGGTACCTCTTCTAGCACTTTCATTCTAAGTAGCACATCCCCTCAGGTTCTAATGGAATGGTTGCTTTCTTACAAGACTAAGCACGGTGGGACATTCCTGTGTCCATCTGGCTTTGATGCCTCTGAGTCTGTAATTACTATTTTTGTTTAAGAGATTATTGCTAGTAACAGACAAGAGTTTTTGCACATTGTTGGGGGCCTCGTTTTTTTTTTAAATACATGTTAATATCCTCTCTGCACCTCATTTTATTTGTGGGAAAGGAATATCCTAAGTGGTAGCCCTCTGAGTAGCAGTATGAGCTGACATTCAACTTTTAACTGTCTAGGCTACCTTTTATACTAGACCATGAAAACCAGAGTCTCCAACATAACAAACTCCAAAAATGTAATTCTTTGATATTTGAAACGTTTTATGTACCACATCGCAAAGCGTATATTAAAGTTTGGTGGTTTGTTACGGGAATAAGATTCACCTCATGATAAAAAGCCTGGTCCTAAAGACCTCTTATTAAACAATCATATTCACATATGAGAAATTCATCTTTTTTTTTCCTGTTTTCTCCGGTATATGTCATATAACAAACTCTAAGAACAAAATTGTCACCATAGATCGCCACACCTCATTAGCAAGGAATCTTGTCTGTTCAAGTCTACTCCCAGTTTGACCCTTGGATGTAAGAGCCAAGTCATTACATGTCAGTTCAATTTTTCTGCCTTAAGAATGAATGTCCTATGTAAAATATTGGATGCAGTGTATAAATTATACAAGGCAGTGTCTTCAGCTTTATATATAGAGAGAGAAATTGTTAGTTTTAAAGTCATCTACTTTTATTTAAACTCCTAGATTGTTTGCTATTGCTCTTTGTAAAGATACATATCTTTCAGTAAACTACATTTTTAACTTTTTCATAAGCTGATTTTGGTTCTTTATATCAACTTAAGCACACCCTGTTAAAGGGGGAAATAAACATTGGGCTTTAAGCATTAACCTGTGTTAAATGAAGCCACTTAACCTAATTTATGCTTTTGACTGTTCTGTATATGGAGAGGAAAGCCTTTATAAAAATTATTCTGTTTTCTGGGTTGGGGCAAAGGCGGGGGGGGTGGGCGGGTGATGCAGAACATATGACAGGAAAAAATATGTAGTCATGAAAAGCAGACATGGTTTGGGCCAAAAATGAGATTTAGACTAAAACACTAAGATTCTAGCTGTGAATTTACTCACTAACGGTCTATTCCCAAAACACAAGTTAGTGAAAAGTGTTTAATACCGTTTTCTTGGTATTTTTTTTTAACGTGAATTACTGATTTTTTATAATCCATGCAGATAATACATGACTTAATCTGGGCTACTGACATTTCAAAAAGTGGCCATTCATTAGAAACTTTCTGGTGAATATCCAGGAAACCCCATCTGTGCTTATCCAGAATTCACCTCTACACACAATTGATTTTTTTTGTTGTTTTTATTTTTTGCATTCACTTTCATCTATGGTTTGGAATTTTAAAATAGTGTAAAGGATATTAGTAGAAATAACTAGTGGCCTGAGGATTATTATTAAACTAATAGTCAGCAAATAAAATTCTAAACATAAGATTGTTTTTCAGTTTTTTATATCTAAGGCTGAGAATATCTTTAGAAAATCTTAAGATGGTTCTTTCTCTGAGTTCAGAATTGAGAATGGATTTCATTAATTAGCACTTAACCATCCTTTCCTTGCCTGGGAGGGAATGAATATTGTTCTCAAACTGATCTCTGTTTAAAAACAAGTCCTGTGTTCTAAGTTCAGTTATTAAGAGAGATGTAATATGATGGAGTCAGACATTTTCTCTTCATCCTTGTAACCAAGTGAAACCTATTTCTCATGGTGGGTTGGGTCAGAAGCTGCTGGTTTTCTACTGCTTGTTTTTAATGCCCTGGGGCATGGGGTGTTGCTAACCCTAAGGAAGGGGCCTGTGGAATTACAGAAGATGGTGGTACAATAATAGAGCCACCACTTGATGCCTGAAATCCAGCCAACTATTGCTCTGACCCACAGCAATAGTGCAAGTTACCTTCACCAGCATTTGTACACAGCAGGGAATTCTGGTTTTTAGCTAATTGAGTGTTGTGTGTGTGAAGAAATTTACAAGTAGAGACAGCTGCAGAACTCTATATCCATGGCTTCTTTCCATCATAAAACGGGTAGAAACACTTTCACTGCTTCAGGACTCTCATCTGTGTCTTCTTATGACTCCATTGCCCTAAGATACTCTGTAATTTTGAAACATGCTGTATTTTTATTTTCATGACTTAATTTAACAGACTTGGTTTTTATTCAGCAAGGTGGTCATACTGCTATTGAACCCCCTTCTCTAAGACGGTTTTAGAAAATAGCTTAGGTATTACATTTTCATTGTCTGCTTAATCACCTCATGTACATCTTCACTGTTTGAAAGGTGTTACAGCTGTTAAAGAATCTTCATGAATCTGAAGATAATTTCTTGTGAAGTTGAATATAAATGTACTGTCGTTCATAGTGTTTATATAAAAAAAAAAATACCAGGAATCTTCACTTTTGCTACCTTGATACAGCATTGAGTTATCATGTTAACAACGTTGAAATACATCAATTTATTAAAAAAATACTTTTCTAAGAAATGTTTTATAGTGCTTTCTGACTTCCAGGAAACTACAGCTATTCTGTGTGTTGGGAATGGGAGGCTATTTTTAAAACTCAAGAATCCCATCTGTTCCGCAGAGATATGGCCAGCCCCTCTCCACCATATACTCACAAGAGCATTTATTCACGTGTTTCTCTTGAGAGGTCAAGCCCGCATACCTACTCTTGAGCTGCCACAGAGAGCACATCCTTCTCATTCCCCCATGGGCAATGGGTGTTAATGCCCTTGCTTCATCAGGAGTACAGGGGAAAGATCCTCAGATTAAAGCCCCCTGCCCTGGCAACTGGAGTTATAGTACAATGGGGAGGGTGTTTGCCTTGCACACAGCCAACCCGCGTTCGATCCCTGGCATCCTAGATTGTCCCCTTAGCACATCCAGGAGTGATTCCTGAGTACAGATCCAGGTGTAAGCTCTGAGCATCTCCAAGTGTGACCCCAAAACCAAAAACAACAATAAAAAGCCCTCTGCCTATAGACACACTCCTTATACTTGAGACCTCAGCGATTTGGTCCTCATGTTTTTCCAAGCCTTTTCTGCCACTCATTTCTCCTTTGGCTTTTATGCACTCAGCTGAGTAATAATTCCCTTCACTAATTCAAAAATTTTCCCTTGAATTAAGTATAGATAACCACAGACTTCTGCAAACTGTCCATCTATGTGCACTTTCTGCTAAGTAGGAATGCTCTATAACTCATTAATTCTTACCTTAAGGACAGGAATCAAAGGGACTTCCTACCCCACCACCACCCCCAGTCTAAGTAGATTCTATTTGACTAGTAACAAACAGATCTGGAAAGGTAACTGATCTTCCTGTAGGAAGGATGCCAGATGTACTAGGCAATAGTAAGACACCCCACCCACATTATTGCAACTGCTAAAGTCCTATTTGTCATCTAGATGCCCTTGTTCTAAGTTTACAGAAGTCTGCTTTTGGTGAAAAACGTCATGCAATATTTTTTGAGAGGTCTCTCGGAGGCAGAAAGCTAATTCTTTACAGATTCTGAACCCAGATAACTAATTGCTCAGCCTTCTCAGACTTGTCTCTTTGATCTTTTCCCCAAAAGAAGATGTTCCCCAAGAGGATACCTTGACCCTTTGCTGAAGTGTGACCAGGAGGAAGGGCAAGAGAGTTAAAAGGGGCCTGATCTCAACTTAAACAGAGTGTATTCACCGCCAAAGGCTAGACTGGCCAACAGATACTCTGCAGCTCTGCACTCATGCAGGCTTCATGGTCCTCGTAAAGAATACACTATCACCTTCTGTTCAGGAGGGGAGTTAAGCCACCTACCTTGCTTCTCCCTGATCAACTCCTTCGCTCAGCAGCAGTTGCCCATTCTAACACTCCCAACCACTTAACTAAGTCAGGGAAGCTATTTAGCTGCAAGGCTCTTTGCTTCACCTCCCAGCTCCCAGTCATCTCTGGCAGCATTCTTCAGCCTTTTCACACCAACAGACTTCAACCTTTCTATATACCTGCAGGCTGACATTAAATCTGGGGTTCAGTGCCTAAGCAACCTTTAGGTACTTCAGAAATTGGCCATTCAGAAGGGGTGACATGCCTCAACGAGAAGTCCTTAAAACTGCAGATTGTTGATGCAGGAATAAAGCTACCAACATCACTAAGACAGCTTTTTGGAAAGAGGGAGGGTGGGAGACCCATTTTGCAGTGGAAGAGGAACATGCTTTTTGGATGGGATGGAGGAGAACAAATTGGGTAAGGAAGAGCAGTGCTGTGCATCTGGGCTTTTTTCTCAGTGGCCAGTGATTACCCACTGATTGCAAGGACCGGCACTTTCAAATCACAAAATGGGAAGAAGACTATGGGAATGGGAGGACTTTCAGACTGTCTGCAAAGAACATTTTGCAGGACTGAAGCAATATCATGGCGGGTAGGACATTTGCCTTACACACGACCAATCCAGGTTCGATTCTCAGCATCCCATATGGTCCCTTGAGCACCACCAGGAGTAATTCCAGAGTGAGAGCCAGGAGTAACCCCTGTGTACTGTGGGGTCAGTGAGTGGACACCACAGAGAAGTTCTCATGGCCTCAGACACAATCCAGTGTTCTCACAAAAAAAAAAAAAAAAGGAAGAAAAAAGGTGGTGTCACCATAAGTCTGGAAGGGCAGAGGATTTTGTGAACAAGGAAGGCCAAAAGGAAAGTCCTCTTGTGCCCCTGCTGTCGAGCTTTTGCGGGTACTTTTCTCGAATAACTTACTCATCCCAATAGCCTTGATACTTTTCCTGTTTTGCCCAAAGAAAACTGAGTGATTATTAGCCCAAGACCACACATGGCATAAGAAACATGTGGATCTAGCCAATTGCAGAATTCCAGTCCAGCATTCTGCCTTTTTGAAATAGAGAGTCCCTGACCCAGTCCCAGTCCCTTGCTGAAACAAGCAGCATTTGAATAAGGTCCCCCAGGGAGGCACTTGTAATCCAAGGTGAGAAGTACCTGTGTTCTACAGGACTCAATTCTGTGTGGCTTAAGTCTACACTGCCCATTGAAATTGGAATGTCCTAGGAGAGATGACTTTCAGGAAGCCTGGATACATGACCCAGTAGCTGAATCTCTCAACTTCAGCAGAGTCGTGGTATGAATTTCTAAAATATTCCTGGGTTTAGGTCTATATAAATTACTGAGAATTTCAGTAAACAAGCATATGAATTTGAACCCTCTGGGCAACAGCTACCCCCAAAGCCTCTCCTGTGAACTGATGATGGATTGCCTCCCGAGTGTGACCACCTCTGCTTATTTTTCAAGTCTCCCTCGCACCCATCCCCAATCATCTCACCACTCTGAGCCTGTCATCTGCCAGCCTTCCTAATCATCCTTACAGACATCCTTCCGGGGTGCCCTCTAGACCTTCCAGTCTTTTTTTTTTCTTTTTTGGGTCACACCCAGTGAAGCTCGGGGATTACTCCTGGCTCATGCATGCAGGAATTACTCTTGGAGTTGCTCAAGGGACCATATAGGATGCGGGGAATCGAACCCGGGTAAGCCGCATGAAAGGCAAACGCCCTACCCACTGTGCTATCGCTCCAGCCCTTGGACCTCCCAGTCTTAACAGGCAAAAGCCCCAGAGCTAGCGCTTTCTCAAGACTCCTCTGCTCTATCTGAAGCCCTCCCTGCATTCCCCTCTGGCCGCTTTTCCTCCTGGGCGATGTGCCCTCTCTCTCCCACAGCTGCTGCCAACTCCTTTGTCCTCTCCTCCCAGTTCTGCGGCTCCCTGAGCCCGTGCTCTCAGAAAGCAGCTGCTCCCTAGCTGCTGTCAGCTCACTTCCTTCCCGCTCTATCTGCTCCGTCCTTTGCTGTCTTTGTGAAGCGTCCGCACTGATGACCTATTTAATAGCCTGGCCCAGCACTTTTCTCCTGGAGCTTCGCTGCCTTGTGACAACGGATGATGGTTTGTGAGA